CATCTCTGAATTTTTCAGAGTTCAATAAATAATTTCTGAATAGACCTCATGTCCAGCTTTAGCCACCCTAAGTAGTATCTCCTTCCTCACTATCTAACACAATCCTCCCCAAGTGAATCCTGGTCTGTTAATAACATATATTAATCAATTACATTTCTCTTAGACATCTTGTATTTTGTCTCGGATTTCCATTCACCCTGTTTCTTTTCCTCCAGTCATACTTCCTTCTGTGGATATTCTAGCCATCATTAGAGCCAAGAAGAGAATTTATTCTTATGAGCACTAAAATTCTACCTTTTCATCTTTGATTTCCTAAGAGTTTAATCAATATTTGTTTAATTAATATTAGTTTAGCATTATCCATGCCATGGAAGTTTTTTAAAGTTGCAGACCACTTAAGTAAAAGTTTTTGTTGGCCTGGCATGGTGCCTCACGTCCGTAATTCCAACACCTTGGGAGGCTGAGGCAGGTAGATGGCTTGAGCCCAGGAGTTCAAGAACAGACTGACCAACATGGCAAAGCCCCATCTTTACCAAAAATGCAAAAAAAATTAGCTGGGCATGGTGGCACACCCCAGTAAATCCCAGTTACTCTGGAGACTGAGGAGCAATAGTCACTTGAACTTGGGAGGCAGAGGTTGCAGTGAGCTGAGATAGTGTCACAGAGTGAGATGGAAAAGGTTTTTGTTCTGTTGGAATGGCAATAGGGTCATATGCTTCAAATTATTGTCGGAGTTTTATTCCATCTGATCATCTTGGTGTTGTGGAGACACAGAATGCTAAGAAAATGTATATAAGAAAGAGTTCTAAAGCCTGTAATCCCAGCACTTTGGGAGGCCGAGGAGGGTGGATCTCGAGGTCAAGAAATCGAGACCATCCTGGTCAACATGTTTTTTGTCTCTACTAAAGATACAAAAAAATTAGCTGGGCATGGTGGCATGTGCTTGTAATCCCAGCTACTCAGGAGGCTGAGGCAGGAGAATTGCCTGAATCCAGGAGGTGGAGGTTGCAGTGAGCTGAGATCGCACCATTGCACTCCAGCCTGGGTAACAAGAGCGAAACTCCGTCTCAAAAAAAAAAAAAAAGAAAGAATTCTAGATATTGCATAGGAGAGTTTGGTGACAACTTAAGGGAACAAGGATACGTCAGGAGATGAGCTATCAGCATATGCTCAAGAATAATTATGGTGGCTGTATGGGAAAATAAAAGAGATTTTACCAACTGTAAATGCATTTAACCCTAGTCATTCTCTGTACTGAATATAACACATATAATTATCAAATATTAAAATTATTTCAATATAACTAGTGGATTTATATTTCTCTTATATTCTACGTCTCCTTGTAGTAATTTTAATGTCAGAGCATAATATTGGAATAAGTATAAATGTTGCTTTTCCACATTATGATTTCCTGTATACTATAGGCTATATTTTCTAATTATAGTTCGAAAAGGCTTGGCATCAGATTTTTTGTTAAACTAAGAAGAGTAATCATATTATTTAAAATTATTTTTGCTCTCGAATCATTCTGAAAAGTACCATCTGGCTTCAACGTTTTCTCAATGTATAATCATTGAAATAAAGACACCTGCATTTATGATAGCTTTGCTTTGTTTCTCCTGGATCATGGAAACTAGGAATGACATTTGATCATCTGATTGCTTTTTGTTCTAACTTTGTAATTTTTACTCAAAGATTTCCTGTTGGCATATTAGCATCTGTTTATTTTAAAGCATGTAATTATGAGAAATAAACAAAAACAACTTAAGCTATGTATTGATTTCATTCCAAAATAGTGTGAAGAATGAGACAAAGTTAATATACCCAATGTTTTCTTGGGAAAAAAGAAAAGAAATTCAGAAACCCAACAAGCAGAGAAATCTGCTCGATGATTACGAAATAAGCACATTTTCATGCCATGCATACCAGCAGATAACCAGAGGGCTGAGACAAATGGGGTAATGAAGAGTTCTATTATTGGTTCAACAGGTGCTCACACATTTTATGTATATTTAATGGAAACAGAAGCCATTTTCTAATTCCTATTAATGGTCTATCCTTAGGCACCAGTTCCATCATTTGGTACATTCTCATCACCAAGCTCTTTGCTAAACTAGACCATAGATTAAATATAATTGTTATTCTCTCATTCTACAACTATATGAAATTTTAGAGGTCCTGGAACATTTCCAGCCTCTCTGTATGTGTGTCGTTATTTCCAACTTTCATACTATAGAGCATCTTAAATTGAATGCATTTTTGCTATTTTACATTCACTATTACACAAGCAAATATTGTCTCAAAATTTTTCACACTGAATTTCTATAACCAGAATATGACCTATTCCACATTCTAGTTTAATTTAAACAGGAAAGTTGACATTAAAAGGAAAAAAATCTTCCCTCATCACCATATCTCAGGTATATTTCAGCTGTTCTTTTAACATTCTTTGATCTATATTTTCAGTTTGATCTCAAGAATATGAAATGTTTTATAAAGAATGGTTCCTCAGTTGAAACCACAAAATGAATGTTAAACTCTTGACCCTATTCCCCCTAACATTTCTCTAGGACTTTCATATTACACACATTAATTCTAGTCTTTCTAGTGAAGGACTTCCTCTAGAGGTATTTTCAATTTGATTTTAACTATATATAAGAAATTCATGATGGTCTAAATTAGAGGTAATATGAGTATGATAAAAGAACATATTCTCACAATTAAAACAGTCACGAAACTTTAATGTTGAAATTATTAAAGGAATAATGTTAGAAAGCCTACTTATAAATCTGAGTTTCAACCAAATTGTCCGTATGTCTTAATTGGTTCAAAATACTAAATAAATAAATAACTCCTTCATAATATAGAATTAAGAAACAAATTTTTTTTTAATTGAGACGGAGTCTCTCTCTGTTGCCCAGGCTGGAGTGCAGTGGTGTGATCTAGGCGCACTGCAACCTCTGCCTCCCAGGTTCAAGAGATTCTTCTGCCTCAGCCCTCTGAGTAGCTGGGATTACAGGCACACACCACCATGCCCAGCTAATTTTTTGTATTTTAGTATAGATGGGGTTTCACCGTTCGCCAGCATGGTCTTGATCTCCTGACCTCGTTGTCCACCTGCCTTGACCTCCTAAAGTGCTGGGATTATAGATGTGAGCCACCAGGCCCATCCAAAAACCACATTCTTTTATTCACTCAAGCATCCAATGATACAGGCAGTAATTACTAATTAAATGTATAGGGCTACACATTGGTGATACATTAATGAGTAACAGAAACACTTCTGTCCTCATGAATCTAAAAGTCTGAGGATAAAGAGTCACAAAAACACGAGTAATTATAAATGTACCAACTAGGAAAGTTATGATAAAATTATGTATTTTTATTAAGGGATGATGAGAGAATGTTTTTAGGGAACAATGACATTTAAGCTGGGAGCAATGAATGATGCTTTCTTTTTATAACTCTCCGAAGTAGATACTGTAATTGTACCTACGGTATAAATGAGAAAACTAGGAGACATTTGAGTATTCGGAGTTAGTGGTCAGAGTAATGCATTCTATTCCTAAACAACCACTTGTCCCTCACACACACACACACACACACACACACTTACAAAATGTGCTATTTTCAAGGAACTAAAATCATGGTAGGCATCCATGATTGACACAAATTGCAAAGGACACACCTTAAAGAAAGTCATAGTCAACATTAACTTTTTTTCTTTTTTCTCTTTATTTTATTCCGTCTGCAACAAAAAGTTCACGGAAGCTTCTAAGTAAGAGTGAACTGATGATATTAGCATTTTATAAGCATAGCTTTTTCATTTGTACTCCAGGAAGAATGAATTAAACAAAAGAAAAAAAAAAGCACCACAGATCTGACTTTGATTCTTAAGCATAGAAGACAAAAAACATTTTGATAAATAGTTAAAAATCTTTTTTCTTTTCTCAGGGCTTAAATAGACTTTCTTTTTTTCCACATTCCTCACCGGAGCACAAACTGAATCCCTGATTACTTGGTAAAACTTCTGTATCCAACTTTATTATTCTTTTTTTTTGAGATGGAGTCTTGATCTGTAGCTCAGGCTAGAGTGCAGTGATAATATCTTGGCTAACTGCAAACTCCAGTTCTCGGGTTCAAGCAATTCTCCTCCCTCACTCTCCTGAGTAGCTGATATTATTGGCACATGCCACCATGCCTGGCTCATTTTTGTATTTTCAGTAGAGATGGGATTTTACCATGTTGGCTAAGCTGGTCTTGAACTCCTGGCCTCAGGTGATTCACTCAATTCAGCCTCCCAAAGTTCTGGGATTACAGGCATGAGCCACTGCACCCAACTCATTATTTTCTTATTCCTCTTTTTTGAGTGTGTTCCACTGTTCAATGGTGTTCACCCTGAAAATGAACATTAAAATATATAAACCCTCTGCTTTAAATCAGTTAATTTATTATGTCCAAGAAACTGTGCTAAATGGTAAAATGAGAAAAAATATCCAGGTTGAAAAAAATGAAGGTTTATAGGCAAAAAAGAAAAAACCCTGGTACTTTTATTTTTGTTATCAGTTTATTTAAGTACCTTGGTATTGTACTTGTTCTTGAATATATCTCAAAAATCATTTATTTCGTGTAGCTTTCTCAGTTATAAAATACGGAATGAATTGCTTCCTCTTTTCACTCACAGCACATTAATAGCCATAATTACATATGGTAAATTTTCTTTATTTAATTGTTTATTTATTAATCTAATTTTTATTTAACATTTCAAACTTGTTCCAAAACAAGATTTTGATATGACTCACAGAGCATGATACATCAGAAGATAAAAATACAATATGGGGAAAATTTCTATTAAAAAAATCATAGTTTTAAAGGTGGATAGAACCAAAGTATCTAAATGTACAAAATGTGTGCTCCAAAGTAATATTAATTCATTGGCTCATAGTTAATTAATTTTTATTTGTTTTTTCCATTAGAATTGGATATCTTTCAAGATGGAAATTGATTCTCATATATCTTTATGTCTGGCTCCTAAGAGGTCTCAATAAATGTTTGTTAAATACATGTACGCCTGAATGAAAAAAATGTGTAATGCTTTCCTAAGCCAAGACACTTTAGCTGAAATGGTGAGCTACCATAATTAGGTATTGCAAAATTAGATTAGAATAAGGACATTTAACCACACTGTCTATAACTCAAAGCTTTGCAATGGGAAATATAAAAGCAGCCATGTAACATTTAAATGAACATTATCCATCAGATTTGACATTTATTAAGCAATAGCAGCACGCTGGGCACTGTTGTAAACACAAACTCTTTTTCCCAGTGAACTTAGATTTTATTTGTGCCAGTTTTTTTCCTGAAAAAGACTGATGCAATTTCATGGCAGATGGTAAAAGTATACAGAATGATGACTTTAGTTTTCGACTCTTATAAGCACTACCTTAAATCAACTCCTTTTGCTGGGGATTCATCACGTGACCTCGACTAAACATTCCAATTACATTTTCCCCCTTACCCACAGTGAAGAGATTTCTTTGATTAGGAATCACACACCTGTACTGATACTGTTGGTATTGCTTTGGCATTATTGTTATGAAGACCATTCTTTCTTGTGCTTTTGAAGTAGCAGAAGGCAATAGTTCAAAAAGATTTTTAACACTATGACCACAGTTCACTTTAATAACACTCTGATAAGCTCATATGAAACTGCCAACACTACAAAGATTATATGAAAGTAAAGCGAATCTTGCAAAAGCTTTCAGTTTGGGCAGGATATTCAGAAGGAGATGTTACAAGATTGAAACAATAAGTCAGTAGTTTAAATATTTCAATAACATTAAAGACATTTTATATGAAAATATGTATATGATTTCTACCCTGATAGAGTTAATACTGCATGCATATTTTAATATAGAAAAACTTTTAATAAATTTTGTTGTATCAGTAAAATTACTGTTATGGAATTTTCTAATTTGTAACATGTTACATTTTTAAAAATATATGTAATTTTTGTTTTTTGAGCAGTCTCGCTCTGTCACTCAGCTGGAGTGCAATGGCAGGATCTCAGCTCACTGCAACCTTCACCTCCCAGGTTCAAGCAATTCTCTCACCTCAGCTTCCCAAGTAGGTGGGACAATAGGGGTGTACCACCATTCCGGCTATTTTTTTTTTTCTATTTTTAGTAGAAATGAGGTTTCACCATGTTGACCAGGCAGGCCTCAAACTCCTGACCTCAAGTAATCTGCCCACCTTGACCTCTCAAAATGCTGGGATTACAGGCATGAGCTATGGCTCCAAACCTAGAAATATATATATATATATATATATATATATATATATATATATATATATATTTTTGTTGTTGTTAAAATTCTGAGATTTTTTCGTTAAAATTCTGATTTTTAAATATACAATGATTTTTAATGAGTAAGGCTTTTGGCTCAGGTCGAAGAATCAACTCTGGCTTGCTTAGAAAAAAATACAAAAGGAAAAATTATTAGAGGAACACTGACCTATCTCATGGGAAATAAGATCAAGAGTTGTTTGTAGAAACAGGACCCAAATGATGTGAGAAAGCTAAGGAGTTCTCCTGTTTCTAGAGCTATTCTTTTCTATTCCAAAACAGTAATCTTAAGCCTCATCACCTAGAAGCCTCACTTTTTTCTTTTCCTAGATTCTTATGGTATAACATGATTGCCAGAAACTCAAAGAGAAAAGTATTTATTATAATTACTGTCAAAGAAAAACAAAGCTGGACACTGAAGTGGTAAGGACAGATTTTAATCTACCTTTGCAATAGGGAAAAGAATCCAGCATGAAATGAATTCATTTTCCATTTATTTAGAGGAGATTGGGCCTTGTAAAGGGAGAATGAGGGATGAGGGATGCAGAGCAAACAGGAGCTCAACAGAAATAGGGAAGGGAAAAATCACAAAATGTAGGAAGCCAAGGACTGTCCCATGTGAACCTTAAATGGATGTGATAATCGCGGTGGTAAAAGTTAGGTTCTTCCCTCTCAAAATGACTGGGAGGGAAGGGGCCCTATCTTCCCTGAAAGATCGGGGCCCTATCTTTTAGTATTCGCTGGAGCAAATAGTAAATTTTTTCAGCAGCCTTGAGTTTTCTCAGGCAATCACATTAGGGGACGGATAAGGTTATAATAATGTTACAGATTTAAACTGGGAGAAACTGTTAGTTTTTGTTCAATCTTTAGAGGCCAAGGTAGAAGTAGACTCAGAAGGAGGCCAGGAACAGACAGGAACCTAGCTACAGTTTTGTCATTACCTAGAAACTTTGTTTACTTATATATTCTTTAAACTATGTGGCAGATAATAATTGTCAGAATCTCCAGAGTTAACATAACTTCCATTTTGCTTTCAAAGAAATGGATTTCTCTTTTTCTTTCATTTTCAAAGTCATAGACAGTCCTTCTAAGGCCAGGTCCTCACTTCTGAACAAATCAACCAAAAAGTGAGTTCATAATGTATTAATGTGGTAGCTCTATGGTAGCTGCGTATAGTATGTGAAACCATAATTTCACTTTATCCCCCAAAAAGAAGAGGAACTCAGCACAAAACCAGTATGTAGTCAGATCCATAGAGAGGGGAGCAGAAGGAGTCTATGTTCCTCATTTGGGGTTATCAGCTGTGGGGGTTTCTGCCCAGAGTGTGTTGCAGGGAGCCAATATAGACAGATCTCAGTAATACCTCATTTTCTTTAGCCTGATCCAGTGGAGAAGGCAGAGAGAAACGTTATGAGAAATGAAAGAGAATCATCTTTAAATAGACTTTGATTCTGTCACATGTAGAATTAGACTAGCCAATCTCTGTTGGCCCATTATAGTCCCATTTGTAAATGCTAAAAAAATAGATTTTGTTTCATTGATTATGCCAAGCTTCATTCATTTTATTGTCAGAGTGATACTCACCTACTTTTTCATGTTATAAAATCCCTGGGAACGCTGTCAATTTCTTCTTTCAAAAATCTCTTTTAAGTAAGTATTGTCTTTGTGGTAGGTGGAATTGGATGTGTTGTATATTTTTCAAGTTATATGGCATATATAACTTCTCTTAGCCTGAGCTCCCCATTTTTTTAATAAAAGAAAAATAAGTGATAACTCTTAGAAGATCAGTGCAAAGATAAAATTTTGCAACACACGTAAAAATGATCAAGAGTTTCACACCTTGTAACAAATACATATATATGAATTCACACATCTTTGTCTATTCCAAATAGGATAGCCAATCGAGTAAATCAATTAGTTATTAACATTAGTCATAATTACTTCAAAATTTTGTATCTGAAAAATCCAATACCTGAATGACTCTAGATCTATTGTTATTGGCTACTTCTTCTCTTGGTTTTGTGTTTATTAGATTTTACTTACTGGCATAGTGTGTACTATTTGATAGACATAGTGCATGAAAACCTGTAGTGGTTATGAATGCTTCTTTTTATAGAGTGTCTTCTGGGTTAGAGCTGGGACATATCAGTTTGAGCACCAGTGTATTTCCAGTTTACACTTACTAAAATGGTATAATCCTTCAGCAGGCTCAACCAAAAACCTGGGTATTAACCAGGGCCCCTGACTCTTGACCAGATCATAATTTCGATTTTTAAATGTACAGCACTATGAAATTGTTGAAAATTTCTGCTTAGTTCTTTAGCAATTATCAACTCCTTTCTGCTTGATTTCTCAGCTTCTTACCTCTGGGAACCTTAGGATTTAGCAAACATTTCAAGATCAAAATCTTACAGAATTATAAAATCACATACCTGGTCTCTTTTCTCCAGGGTTTTAATTCCTAAGTTCCAATTTTGGTATCTCTAGTCATAGGAGACTAAAATAGGTTCTAGGTTGCTACTTTCCACTGAGCCTAAATGCCAATATCTGTGAATCACCAAATGTTTTCAGGAGAAAGTTACACAGAAGGTCAACTTCACCTCCCTATGCCTCCTAAAATCCTTTCAAGGAGTTTGGCTCCTCAAATTCACACTGCCTTGGTGTTCTTCTGATACCTTCAGATATATGGGTTTTGTTTGTTGTATATTTTTTAGTGGCATTACATTCGATTAAATTTGTTGTAAAGCTGCCTCTGTAGTTTGAATACTTACATAGCAAATTGCAGCCTAACTTAGTATGAAAACAAGCTGCCACCCGACTTAACAATATATTCTTGTAACAAATTGCTGAGCTTTAGCCAATCACAGCAGCTGAGCTTCAGCCAATCACAGGCACCCAACTGATCAGACTATGTCTATACAAAACAAATGCTAAGCTGTAACCAATCAAGCTATTTCTGTACCTTACTTCCTTTCGTGTGTGTGTAAATACTGCCTACTTATGCTGGGTGGAGCTCTTCAAACCTCTATTGGTTCAGGGTGCTGTCTAATCATAAACCATTCCTAGATCAAATGAACTCTGTTAAATTTAATTTGTCTAGTTTTGTTGTTTGTTTGTTTGTTTTTACAGCTGTTTGGATGTTTGGAGAAAAGATTGGGTCTGATACAAACTGCTTTCCCATATCCAGAAACAGAAGTACTCAGTATTATGGACTTTGGAATATCTAAAGAATTCAACTCTTTAATAAACATACCCAGTAAAGAGAAAATATGTACACTTTTAAATGGCATTATTCATTGTATATTTATATCTGTAACTATGTCTTTATATATCATTTTGTATTTTCAATGAACATAGTAAGGGATTGTGTGACCTAATGTACCACCGAGTAGAGGTTGTCATTGAGCTTTCAGCATTGTTATGGAAGTAGCAGAGGTTGAAGTAAAGATGTGTTAGGATGACAAAACATAGTTTAAAAGTAAAATTATATGTAATAAGATTGATATAAAACTTAGCAAAAGTTAATATGGAGTCCAGGAACAGACAAATACTTACTTTGCCTTTCAAAATTACAGAAAATTTGCAAATGATTCTTCTCTCTCACTATTAATACAGCTAAGATGAAATAAATACATAGAATTAAATATAATATAGTATAGTATAACAAATCTTATTTTAATGAAAAGTAATGTGAAAACAAAAAATTTACCTCTGTGCATGTTTACTAATGTTAACTTATTAATTAATTTTTTTATTAAATACATTTAGAAAGCACAATAGTGACTTAATGTAAAAGACAGAGGGTAAAGTCAGCCTAAAATGTGTCTCTGGGGAAAGAGATCTTTACTATTTAGCCAACATCTTGGGTACACAACAATACTGTATCATAAGAAGGGAGAGGGCAATTTAAAAATGAATAGACAAATCAATGTCAAGTAGTCTTTAGCATTTATCCAAATCAATTGGTTCATCTCAGGAAGTTTTCAGCTACAACTTAAAAAAAATCAGTTATCTCCAATCTCTTAGTGCAATCCCTTAAGATTTATTATTTACGGAAAAGTTTCTTGTTTTTTTGAGTGCAATAACTTTACAAGAAGAACTCACACTTTTCTCTCCCAGATGGCTGAAAAGTAACAGTTTTACAGGTACATGGATATGTGGAGGTGATGAAGTGCAAATTGAAAACAAACAGCATGAAGTATACACCCTCTTTTGTGCTTTGAATATTAAGCATTGAAATATTTTTTCATAGGGGAAGGGAAATAGTGAAATGTTACAAAATGATTTTGAAAGGGAGCTGTTTTGATGGCATGAATGTTAAGTAATCTTATATTTCAATTTGGTAATTCATGATGTGGAGGAAAAGACTGTCATGGAGAGCAAGGCTGATGTCAGAATTTCACAGGCATGATTTGAATTACACTGTTTTACAAAGATCATTAATATTAGTAAATATACTATTAGTAAATATATTAACATATTTGTCTGATGCATTCACTAGTTCCAGTAGCATTTTTTTATTTATACTAAAAACATTACTTAATAGTTGTTTCAAATTTAAAAATAGCATAGGATGGCTCAAGCCTGTAATCCCATCACTTTGGGAGGCCAAGGCGGTGGATCACGAGACCAAGAGATCAAGACCATCCTGGTCAACATGGTGAAACCCCATCTCTACTAAAAATATAAAAAAATCAGCAGGGCATGGTGGCATGTGCCTGTAATCCCAGCTACTCAGGAGGCTGAGGCAGGAGAATTGCCTGAACCCAGGAGGCGGAGGTTGCGGTAAGCCGAGATTGTGCCATTGCACTCCAGCCTGGGTAACAAGAGCGAAACTCTGTCTCAAAATAAATAAATAAATAAATAAAAATAGCATAGGATGCTTATGCCTGTAATCCAAGCACTTTGGGAGGCTGAGGCAGGGGAATTGCTTGAGCCCAGGAGTTAAAGATCAGTCTGGACGACATGGCAAAAGCCTATCTCTACAAAAAATATAAAAATTAGCCAGGCGTGATGGTGTGCTCCTATAGTACCAGCTACTCAAGAGGCTGAGGTGGGAAGGTTGCTAGAGCCTGGGAGATTGAGGCTGCAGTGAGCTGTGATCTCACCACCGCACTCCATCCAGGACAGCAAAGCGAAACACTGTCTCAAAGAAAAAGAAGAAAAAAATATATAACATATGTATCTTATTAAACAAATGACAAGGCCATTTATCTATTCTTCTTTATTCTTTTTTTCCACTGTTTGCATGTTTTCATCTAGCAGTAGACTATGGCCCCACTAGGTACACACTTAATTATCATAATGGCTTAAAAAACAAGTCTACAGTAGGGATTAAGGTATTGAATACACAAATAATTATTTTTCAGTTACACTTGGACATTCACAAAAATCTTAGCTTAGATTATGGTTTTTAATCCTATTGAACTCTGTTTTCATCTTTCATTAAAGTCATATTGATTACATGTAAGTGATGATGACTTAGAGATAGCAATGTAATATGCAATACAGCTGTGGTTTTGAGAGAGCATTTTCATATACTTTCTCTCCAGTAAGTTATTTCAAGCCTGTCTGGAAATTTAAACATAAATGTTTAATATGATTTTATTTAGACATATGATAATAAAGCAAAGTGTGCAAGCCGGGTGTTGAGGCTCATGCCTGTAATCCCAGCACAATGGGAGGCCAAGGGGGTGGATTGCTAGAAGCCAGGAGTTAAAGACCAGCCTGGCCAACATGGAGAAACCCCATCTCTACTAACAGTACAACAATTAGCCAGGCATGGTGTCACACACCTGGTGTCCCAGCTGCTTGGGGGGCTGAGCCATGAGAATCACTTGAACCAGGGAAGTGGAAGCTGCAGTGAGCCGAGAGCCGGCCACTGCACTCCAGCCTGGACAACAGACTGAGATTCTGTCTCAGACAAAAAAAAAAAAAAGAAAAAAGAAAAAAATTACTTGGAGTAGAGCCTGCCAGTAGGTGCAAATTCCCCTATACCTGCAACTCTCAGGGAGTCTACACATTCATAATTTGGCCTCTAAGTATTCATTCCAAAGTAGCTGAATTCTTTTTTTTACCTGCTTTTCTGGCAGCATGACGTCGTCCTGTGCTCTCTCTTTTTCTACTTGGAAACATCTTTCTTTCTTTAGATTTCAGACTTGCTGATTTCTCTCGCCACTTTAGCTCCTTAATGGGATCATGAAAATTATGATTTTTTTTTAATTATTTAGCTTTTACCTTTTTGTGTAGATAGGAGCAATTCTTTTTACATCTTTCTACACTAAGCAGAAATGGGAAATCTTGATTTATTGTTTTTCATTGCTGTATATTATTGTGCTGCATGACCTATATTTACTGAGGAATATTTGAGTTGTTTCTGAGTTTTTGCTATTATGAATAATGCATGTATGACTATTTTTATCTGTAGGTAATATGGTTTGGCCCTTACCCTAATCTCAACGTGAACTGTATCTCCCAGAATTTCCATGTGTTGTGGGAGGGAGCCAGCAGTGGGGAGGTGGGGGGCTGTGGTGGTGGCAATTAAATCATTGGGGCTGGTCTTTCCCATGCTGTTCTCGTGATAGTGAATAAGTTTCATGAGATCTAATGGGTTTATCAGGGGTTTCCGCTTTTGCTTCTTCCTCATTTTCTCTTGCCCCTAGCATGTAGAAAGTGTCTTTTGCCTCCTTCCATGATTCTGAGGCCTCCCCAACCATGTGGAACTGTAAATACAATTAAACATTTTTTTCTCCCTAGTCTCAGATATGTCTTTATTGGCAGCATGAAAACAGACTAACACAATAGGCAAGTATTTTTACCATATGCCTTATTCTAGCAGTAGAAATGCTAGGTAACAGAATAGGCATAGCTTCATGTTTAGTAGATACTCTCAGTTTTCCAAAGTATTTGGTAATTTATAACTTTATTCTTAGCTCCGCAAGTGTAAACTGATTCAAATGCTCTATGGTGCTTTTAAACAGCCACTTTAAATTTTTATTCATGTTTATATAATTATTTCTGGTAGCAGAGTTGGTTTGATAAAAACTACACCTTAAAAAGGGAGAAGCATATATTTATGATATTAAATTTATAAGTACAATGCTAGTTGTACTTATAAATATGATTGACATTTATAGAAATATTCTAAAATTTGAAGTTCAAAATTATTTGGAATCACACGTCACTATAAAAATTAATTTAATATTTTGTATTGTGATGTATTACAGCCACTAATTTTATTTAGAAACTACATACAGTTCTGCAATCTAGCATATAAATCTCAATCTCAGATATGATATATATGCGTTTGTATGTGTGTCTATAATTTTGAAACACTAGTGAAAGTGTTTCTTTGGTATAAATTATTTGCTGTAATATTACTAAGTTGAGGTGTACAGACAGTTGTTGTTTTTTTTTAATATTGAAACAATCTCAGACAGATCGAAAAATTGCAAGAAAATAAAAGAATTTTGTTTTCCAAAATTGAGAGTAAGTTAGTTTCCTGATGTTCACCACCCTGTGTATTTTACAGTATGCTTCCTACAAACAAGAACATTCTTGGACATAACCAGAGTAAAACCCTGAAAACAAAGTAAAGTAGCGTCGATACATTATTGCCTTCTAAATCTCAGACTGTTAGAAAGTTTTGACTGCTGTCTCTTTAATTTCCTTTATACAATAAAAAATATCCAGATCAAAATTACATTTACATTTATTGCTTATCTTTCTTAGTCCTCTCCAGTCTCAAATAGTTTCTTAGTTTTTCTTGACTTTAACTATCTTGATGGTGGACAGTCGGTATTTTGTGGACCGTTCTTCAATTTGGTTCATCTAAAGTTTTCTCATGATTAGATTTAGTTAATGTGCCTTTAGCAGGTCATGCAGTTTCTTTTCACGATTTCCTTTCAATTGGTTGATATTTCTGATTTGTGCAATCATTGATGATGTCCACTTTAATTATTTAAATTAAGTAATTTTCCAGGCTTCTTTGTACAGAACCTTTATTTTTCTTTGATCTTTTTACTTTGAAGTGTGTTTCTTCGAAACTGTTTAATTATTCTATTCCTCTATACCAACATTTCTGTTGGTTTATAATTTATTTTATTGGGTTCAGGGTTTCTTATTTTATTTAGTAGATGGGATGGTTAATTTTAGGTGTCAATTTGACTGGATTAAGGAATACCTAGAAACCTGATAAAGCATTATTTTGGCATTTATCTGTGAGGATGTTTCCAGAGGAGATT